TGACGGGTGTACCACCAATGCCAACATGGATAGGATTAGATAGACAGTTTTCCAGATAAATTCTAAATATTACAACGAATAAGGACCTGCCATAAAATTTCATCAAAAACATGATACCATAATATGTTATGACGGTGTTTAGGTTGCCCCATGCGACGAACAAAACATTTCATTTTTATGAACTAGCTCTAGAATTGAATGATTTTATGATGAATACCGCTATTGTCATAAAAAGTCACATCTCTTGTAGCAAGTTCGCACCCGTATTGCATTTCGTGAGCTCATCCTCACGAGTTCAAACATTTCATTTTTTGCAAGCAGCATGAGGTTCTTACCGCTCGCGATCAAACAACTTACGATTTTTCATTCTCGTAAGATATTGTTAAACTTGAGATGCTTTGATTCTATAAGAAATGTGTATCACAATTGTGCCGGAGCAAGAATAAAAATTGAATGTCTTGTAATTTGGAATGGAGCGAGTAGTTGCCTACGAAGATTCCTAGCACATGACTTCAACAACTCACAACTTTTTTTATAAAAAATTCTTTTCCACAACTTTTTATTTAGAAATTTATAACTAGTACACATTTATTCGAAAAGATTAGCTTTATTTTTAGATAGGTAAAAAATGATACGCATTATGTACAACTTCTCTGAAGAACTTTTCGGTACAGCTAGCCTTTCTTTGTCAAAACATGGCTCATGCACCAAAAGAAGACATTATATATTTGTCAAACGATTTTGGGGTGCTCCCGAACAAGGACGGCGCACCTAGTGTAGTGGCCAGACCCTGACCTGTCGGTATGATTTGGAGTACTAATAATACACACTAGTCCATGTTAGCAGGCGACTGAATAGTGCTCAAATTGAAACAAGGTCGTTCTTTACGCGTCGCAGGTTTGAACGTCGATCGACTTCATTAAGGACATGTTTAATACCCTCCGGTTTTATAAAAGATTTCGTTTTGATGTTGTCTTAAGTCAAATATTTTAAATTTTAACTACAAATAAATTTTTTTGGGTTGAGTTTGAAAATATGAAAGTGATGTAGGTAAATTCATCTCGATATTTAGTTTCATAAAAGTATATATATATTGACTATATTTTATAAATATTTATATAGCAAAAAGTAACGGTCAAAGTTGTTTTTTGAGATCGTGTTGCTGTCAAAACGACATCTTTAGGAAACCAGAGATAGTACATATGACTAGTTGCTAATTGGATAAAAAGTTAGTTCCAATTAGCTATGGTTGGCTCACTAGATGGCTAATAAATAGTTGAAGACTTGAGTAAAGTTAAAAGTTAGCCCACCCCACCTATTAACACCTCCCATTTAGGTGTACTAGAACTAATTTTGAGCTAAAATTAGCTAGCTAACAATTAGCTTATGGTACACAAACATGTCTTAATTCAGGCTTGATATCATCAGAGGTTGGAAGTCGTTTTCTCAGATGATGTTGGCACGTACGGTCTCACTGCCTGCACTGTAGCACGCAACAACTCGAGGATTAACTAGCTATATAGATAATATATATAGTCCATTGTTAGTTTTAGGCTATATATGCATCATTGCAACGTGCGCCCATGCATCCTGTCCTGTCCTTACCCGCTAATTAATTGGTAATAATAATCAATCAATCATATCGTACTTCTAGCCATTTGGTTAGGTAATTACCAATTTACTAGTAACATGTATGGCAACCACTCCTCTCCATGCATGATCGAACGGGAACGGACGAAGACGAACCAATGCAAGCAAGTGAGCAACCACCGCGACCGCGGCAGCAGCTTCCTCCGATGCGATCCGATCCGCCGTCTGGTCTCTCCTCCGATCCCAACGTGACGAAAGCCTGTTCGGGAGGCCCATTATTTATCACGTGACGATCGCTTGAAGCCGTAACACGCTTGAAGCCGTAGACGTACGTGCCGCCGGCCGGCCATTATTAATTGCAAGTGGCAATAGACCAATAGTGTACAGGGCCACGCATATGCGTCGTCGCGTGCATGGGCATGGGTACGTGTGCATCGTCCGATCCTTTTTTTTTTTCAAAACTTTCTTTCCTTTTGCTGGTCCAAATCCTATTCCTATATATAGCAGCTAGTAGCTACCCCGGCCGGATTGAAGTTGAACTCCGTGAACTGGAAAGTGACGTGCGACAACCGACGAGGACGACGCAGCAAAGCGTGGCCTTCTTTAGATAGCTGTTAGAAACACATTCCAGGTCCAGAGGAGATTTTTATTTGTAGACCGCGTATTGCGTTAATTATGCACGCACAACGCAAGTTTAAAGATTCGTACGTTGCAAGGGACGTTGACTAATCAAACCATATAATTACACATTTTTTCAAAAATATTTGATGATCGTGAGAGATGATAACGCGAGAATGAAGAGAAACACAGTCCAGGTCCAGAGGAGATCGAGGACCGCGTGCGCGTGTCCATGCACGCACACGCGCAGTTGCCAGAGCCAGACGTACGTTGCAAGGGACGTTGACTACTGAAGGATACAACGACACATGCCTTGTCCCTGTGTCGATCGTGTGATGATAACGGTACGTGCGGTTTGCCTAGCACGTTACTGCTGCCGGTTGCCGTTTCCCTTTCGTCTTTTCTTTTTCCCTTTCGTCTTTGTTTCCAGCAGCAGCAGATGTAGCACCGGCAGCGACCAAGTTACCATTACACTCCATCACGACTGGTCCTGGTGATACGGCTCTAGCTATTTGGTTATTTATTATGCCTTTTATCTATGCTGATGATAACTGGTGCATGTTTTACTCTGATGATGATGCTATGCTACGCTTCCTAGGACCTGCGTACTTTGCTACCCATCACTCCATCAGTCGTCACAGGGTTTATTTTAAAAATTGATTGACGAGCAGCTGAGAGCTCCTTGGCACCCGCTAAATACGGTAGGTCTCTATCCCAGTCTGCTGAGCTAGCTTAAGAGCGTCTCCAATTTTCTTATCGGTCTATCCATATAATTTTGGCAAAACAAGCCTAGCCTCCAACAGTGAATGTAAACAACTTGTGTCAATAAAGAACATATAAATCTTTCCTCCATCGTTATCGCAGCAGAATTTGTTTCATCAATGTTTCTTAGCGGGGCTATATTTGTTTCGTTTTGTTAACGGGTTTTTTTATTTTACCAAGTCAAAAATGACAAACTCTTGGAGATGAATTGTTTTTTTACTTGGCATATAATTTTGGGAGTTGGCAAATCACAAAATTTGCCAAGTAAAATTTGACAAACTCTTGGAGATGCTCTAATAAGCTGAATCATACACGGTCTACATATATTAGCCTGTAGCCTGAATGTCAGTGTAGCGCCATATATACCTTCTTCATCGTTCAACAAAATTTGTTTCACAATGTCTGGAGCTATATTTGTTTTTTCTATGAATTTTACAAGTCCATGGATGCGTATGAAGTAACTACTGTGTACTGGAGGACCATCCGACCCTAGAGGGGGCCCACCCTGCTTGGACCCTACCGACAGAACACGTACACCATTTTCACGGGCCATCCCTATGAGGGGATCATAGATTGCATTGTCTGTTATGATGTGTCTAGAATTTTGGTGAGGTCGCTGAAGATGATTCCAACCACCGATTCGCCGGATAGGGGTTTATTGCTATGAGTTTCTAAGAGTGTGGGGAACCTGTTTGGATGATGGATTTGGCATGCTTGTGGCGGTTCTAGGAGCTAAGTAGGGATAGGAAGGAAGAGAGAGGGGCTTAGGGGTTCTCTCACTGGGTTGAAGGGATGTTCCACCAATAGCAGCTCGGTTCGGAGTCGCTTGGAGAAGGGGATCGATGTTGTGGATCATCCATGGCTTGAACAAGAAGATGGCGTGGGGAATATATGCCTCCTTTATCCAATCTGGGACGGGGAAGACGTCGGGGAGGACGAGCGAAAGCCTCTCCGGCAAGCTCTCCGACGAACTCTGGTGGAGATGGTGGATTGTGGGGAGCGCTCTCCTTCTCTTTTCTTCTTCAGTTCGGATGTTTAGAGAGAGAGAGAGAGTGGGACCGGTAGGGTGCGTATGACACCTTATAGGGTGCATGGAAGTACGGAACAGGTGTTTCTACGTATTAATGGAGTGTCTACTAGACATGGACCAGTCAAGGTCGGGCCATGGAAGGTGTTGATGTATATGTGGAGTTTCGACTAGCTTGTCGGACCGTCCATCGTGAAGATGCGGATCATCAAACATGCATTGACATGTCAAGGCTGATGCCGAGATAGCCTTTGATTAGCATATCAGACTATCCATTGGTGCATGTCAGACAGCTCTGATAATACCAGTAGAGTTGGTGTGGACTTTGATTGATGGGTGGGTCTATGTGCTATGCTGATTTTCAGATGAAGTAGATGTCTGGTTTACTAATTTTGGAAGAGAAGGGAATTTTGGTTTGACCAAGGTTCAATGGAAGGATTTGTTTGGATTCTATTAACTAAGGTTTAGCGGAAGGATTTGTATTTGTAGATCTAAACATTATATCGATTATTTTGGTACCAAGATGGCTTCAAGCAAAATGTAGTGAGCTGTAAGGTTGTAGATCTCATCGATAAACAAATATAATTCTTATATAAATTTTATCTTCATATGTTACTATATGAAAAATATAATTATTTAAAGATGTGCTATGTAAGGATGTGATTAATTTGCCTTGATTTATCCACTAGCAAAGTGCAACATGTTTTAGAGATCATATATTTTCATAAAACCTCGTATAGGCTAACATTTGTAGATACCAAAGAGATCTACAATTCTTACTTTACAATATTTTTTCTAAAGCCATATTGATATGTACCTAAAAACCAATTTAATATTCGGTTCTACAAATACAAATCTGAACTATGTATCAATTTTTTAGGTATCAAAACAATCTCAAATAGAAAAACCATAAACTACAAAGTTGTATATACATTTTTTCTACAATCTTCATATAAATATTATCTTCGTACAAGTTCATATATAAAAATTAATAATTTTTAAGATGAGCCGTCATAAAAAGAAAATTCCGCCAATTCAAATAAAGGTAACCAATGTTACCGCAGCTCAATCAACGGAATATACTTCCGGCCACTTCAATTGGTGGTAGTAGTATATTTTACATTTTTATTTAATAATAGGCAAGTATTTTGTAAAAGAATTTTAATAAAAAAATATATAAAATATAAAACTTCTTTACATTTTGGGTTCGGCCTCTCTCCTTTCTCTCCTTCACAGGCTCACAGGTGAGCCTGCGCCTGTCTTCTTTTTGGGCCAGCCCGCTAACCGCTCAGCACCAGAGCCCGTTATTTCCTCACGTCCCTCCCTTCTCCTTTGACTCACTGATTGGATGGGCCCGCGTGTCAGCGCCCCAACTCCTTTCTTCGTTGCGTTGCGCCGCAGCAGCAGAACAACTCGACCCGGGTTTAATCCGTGCGCACGCACGCACACCATCTGCTCCGCCGCGGCCTCCAGCACCAGCAGCGGCGGCTCAAGCATCGCTCGGCGCCCGCCCCGCGCCCCGGAGAGACGACCGGCACAGCGCGCCCTCGCGGCGCAGCCCGACACCGCTGAGGAAAGGCGCCGAGTCCAGGACCCCGTCGCCGCGGGGGCTCGGGAACGCGGTGTCGACATCGCGGAACCCTAGCGAGACGCCGTGAAGGTCCGGAGGCGAGCACGTGTTTCCGTGTAACCTTTCTACCCTTTCTCCCTTTGCCGGCCGGCCCTTCAACGGTGACGAGTGCCCACCAAGGTATGCGCAACGGCCACCGCTTCTCTTCCCTCCCTGCTGTTCGAAACTGAGCTGCCAAACCCTAATGCAAGCTATCTGTATTCGGATCTGATCTAATTACATGTGTTATTATGCCTACTAACTTCGATTTTTTTATATAAAAAAATTGTCGGCCCCTGCTTCGGATGTGTAGGCGGTGGTTTACAGTGAGCTGAGGGAGATGTCTGGAACTGTAAGTCCCTCTTGGAGCAAGAGGGGAATCTCTTTTGATGTGCGCAGGTTGGTGACGGATTCCATCTCATATCTTGTATAATGTGTGCAGCCAGTCGGTGTCGACAATACTTCTAGGAGGAAATTTGATAAGGAAGAGTACTTGGAGAGAGCTCGACAGAGGGAGCAGCGGGAGAAGGTCACATAATGTGTTCTATTCTTTTTTAATTTTGTCATGACTGAACAAAACTATTATCATACTTCTCTTTGTCTCTATGTATTGCTAATTTCACTCTGCATTTGTCTGTCGCTGATCCAGGATGAAGCCCGGAAAGGCAAGGGTATGTGGTCCAACTTTTAGTTCAGTAAATATGTACCGTTCGGCTGAACAGTGTTTTTCTGTCACGACATTCCAGCCGGAACAGTGTTTTCAGCATGAACAGTGTTCTAGGTTTGGTTCTCTATGAAACTTGACTCCTTTCAATTTTGAATGCAGAAAGGGGTCCTCCTGTGCAAAGACAGCCTTTGAAGCACAGGGACTATGAAGTTGATCTTGATTCTCGTCTTGGCAAGACTCAGGTTTGTAAATATCCTACTATATACTTTGTGCATTTTAGCATGCTTTTTCTATGTTACTAAAATACCAAATGCTGTAGCAGCTACTTCGTCAATTATTTGTGCCCTGATTTTCTTGCCTCTAGTTTCATTGGTATTTTTGTGGGGTTTTTTCGACCATTACATGATTTGGAAAACTGTGTAGTGTGTACAATTAGAGGCAGATATGGTGCTATGGGTCTGATTGACTCTGAATTTCATTCAGTCCTTTATTGTGAACAACTTGCTTTTAGAAAAAGAACACCTTTCTGTTTCTAAAAGATAATTAACTGCACCTTTCATTATCTATTTTTCCAGGTGGTGACCCCGATTGCACCGTTGAATCAGCAGGTTTGTGCATAAATCCCATAAGGCATGTCATATAGTGTTTACAGTGATCTTGAAGTATTTTCATCATATCATAATTCTTGACAAAAATTTCTAGAATGTAGTTGCTTTGCTCCTTTGATAGTAAACATAGATCTTAGTAGGAGATACTTTTGTGTTCTTACCTCCTATTCTTTTATCATGTTGTAGGCTTGATTATGTGCATATCATACCAATGCTATTTACGATCTTAACATTCTACAGAAATGAACCTCTCTTACTTTGATGATTAATTCAATGCATAAAAGTTTCCTTTAAACTTTACCTACTTTCTGACAGGCTGGGTACTACTGTTCTGTATGTGAATGTGTTGTTAAAGATTCAGCCAACTATTTGGATCACATAAATGGCAAGAAGCGTAAGTGGATGAGGCTCTAGTTTATGCTCATTTAGTGCATTAAATTTTGCTATCATCATCTTCATGTTTCATGGGTCATGGTTTTAACATGACAGATCAGAGAGCGCTGGGCATGTCTATGCGTGTTGAAAGGGCATCACTTGAACAGGTAGTACATTTGAGCCTGGTATTGGATCTGCAATTGAAAGTCAGCAATTTTATTCTTTTCATATTTAGTAGCAGACCCAAAATTTTGTCATGCATTTGGCTCCCTTTGGCACAGCTTCTGCTTGTGCAGAATCCAGCTTGTAGGAATAGCTTGTGAGAAGCAGAAGTTCAATTTCAGCCCTCTTAAGCCGCTTTAGAATCTATTCATTTGGTAGTACTTTGCCTTTTGTTTTTCCTGTTAGATGGTGAAGCAGAAACTATGCCAAAGAGGCACATCATGTCATGACATTATTCTTATTGGTTCATGCAAGGCTAGTGAACAAATGCTTGAATAGTTAGTTTGTCATCCAATTTTCAGCCAGTGGTATTCTTTTAACCATCTGCTATTTGTTTTCACTCTTCTGGCTGCAGGTTCAGAAAAGGTTTGAGGCACTTAAGAAAAGGAAGGACCCAAGCGCCTTTACTGAACAAGGTGAGAAAGAAAATCCTTCATATATGGTGTCAGTTTCGTCGCCCCATTCTACCATTGAGAATGAAATCTTTCCACAATATATCTAGGGAATAGGGAGCATAAGAAATTACTCGCAAAATCGTCCCATAGTTTTTTTTTTAATATTTACAGATTTGGATGAGAGAATAATGAAACAACAGCAAGAGGAGGAGGAACGGAAGCAGCAACGCAAAGAAAAGAAGAAAGAGAAGAAAGTAAGTGTAACCTGTTGCCAATTTTTTCTTTTTACTTTGAACTGAAAATTATAACTGACAGTCCTTTGGGGTTTGAGAATCAGTACAATTCATACTCACTTGCTATCAAATGGTTTCAGAGAGAACAGGCAGCCCAACATGAACCTGAGGACGTTGACCCTGACATTGCTGCCATGATGGGTTTTGGAGGGTTCGGTTCCTCAAAGAAGTGACCACTCTGTGTTGGCTTCATATCTTTGGTGGCCTTCACGGCTTCGCCCCTGAAGATATTGTTCGACCCCATAACCTTGCTACAAAGAATCATTTTGACTGATCTGCGATAAGATTTGAATGGATTGGATGCAAGGATGATTCGTTTTGACACTGGGATATTGAACTTTGTGCATGGGAGTTGATTGTCAAATGGAGCATCTATGGGTGTTTTGGAGTAAACTTGTTTATTTGTTACTTGGGGGATTCCTGCCATAGAAACAGCTAGTCGTGATTATTTGTTGTGGCAATGCAGATGTTCAAGTGGAATAACCAAAAGAATTGCTGTATCATTTTCTAGAAGAATAAACTTGTGTGTTGCAGCTAGCAGTTCCCTTGATTCTGAATCTTAATTTACATGACCCCTGAACTTGTGTGATGGGTTAGGTTCCAGTGTAATCACAGCATGGTCTGGTACGGTTCTGGGACGCTGATTTGTGTCGCTGTCTCCCTGAAGAGCCAGTGTTGTCATTGCAGTCGTGCAGTGTTTGGTTACTCAGGAAGGTCTGCAGTGCAGGCTTGCTTGTTCTCTGCTGCATTTATATGTGATGATTGATGCTAGCAATTATAAACTGAAATGTGGTGTCTGAGGAATGGTGGTGTTCTCTTATCGAATGTAAGGGAAAACATACATAGCGTCTGCTGAAGAGCTATGTTGTTCGACGCCAGCTTCCACTGCATGCGTTACCTTGACTGACACAATCTGCAATCTCGTGACACTAGATAATCACTCCAAAGTATAATAGTTGGAGAATGAAACGTCACTTAAATGGCTTAGGATTAGATGGAGGCTGGCCAATCTATAAGATTAGAGCATCTTCCGGAGACTCTCCATATCTTTCTTAAATGTTATTAATAGAGATTTTGGTGAAAAACTATCCTCCAACAACTTTTTTAAATGGTCATCCAAATATCACCATCTTCTATCGTGGTTTTTTCGCTTGGCAAATATAGAAGATGAGAATGGCTATATAGAATGAGCATAAGATATAGAAAAACCGTTGAAGAGTAAAAATATATAGAAAGTGATTTCTATGTAAATGGCTCTTCAAATGATGATTTTGAGAGTGAAATTTAGAAAGTCTCTTGGAGATGTTCTTAGACTGTCTCCAACAAGTGATCCATATGGGCACACAAACCCAAAATGGGTAGCAAGAGATCCAAAATCTGTCTCTAACAGAGTACCTATATGTGACTTATTTTAGGTTATCTGAGAGAGCACAACCCAAATATGAGCATCCTCTCTCCTGAAAACCCATTTGTAGAAAGAATTCTCTTTTAAGTCCTGTTGTCGGAGAACATACCAAATATGTATTGAACCCTTTGTCTGTAGCACTACCTAAATGTCGAATATATCTTATATTTTGAGTACTGTGGTTGGAGATAATCTTAGACGGAGGCTGACCAACCTATATAGGTAATCATTGTAACCGAGTTGTGTCCCATTGTCACTTGGGCCCAGCCAAAGAATTTAGCTCCGAGCTGATCGCCACTTCCCTGCTCCATCTTTGGATGGGCACTGGGCAAGGAGCCGTCTCCTGCCCTCTTAGGGCATCTCGTAAAGCTTTAATTTCTAATTTTCACCTTAAACTACTTAATTCTTTAACGGAGTGATTCTGGTTGATTTTGGCGGGGGCGTAGAGTCAGATGAGAATCAATTGTAGAGTGATTATGGCGGGGAGTGAAAAGCAGATTTTTTTTAAGCTCTTGGTTCTTAGTGTAGATGAAGAAATGATTCTTGTCTGCTTCCTACTAGAATCTGCGTGGAATTTTGTTATTTGGTTGAAGAGTAGTATTTTCACTGAATATCTGTTCCATAAATCCTATGAAACGCCCCCTTATCCACGGTACTTAGGCTACGCATAGTGTAGTCGAGGCTGAGAATGCTAGCACAACTGATGCTGATAAAGCACCCTAACATCACAGCGTTCAACATCAACATGCATTTGCTTGTGATCTTCATTTCACGTGCATGAGCAAGAGCAAGCAGCGACGCCGGCTGAGAAAATAATTTTTCATTCCTCCGCATCGACGCAAGTAGGTTACTCGGCATCGTTTTCATACAATGGTACTATCCGATGCCCAAACTCACTTTTCCTCTACATGGCATTGAAGCAGAACAGATCAAAGAAGAAGCTGGTGGTGACCTTGTGTTGTTTTCCCTCTGGAAAAAAGATCACAACAACAAATATATCATGAGCTGATATATAATTTGAATGTAAGACCGCACCCTTAATTAGGTTGTTGGGTGGGGATCGACACGCATGGCTATAACAGGGAACCAAAGGTTTGGATGGTTTTTCTGAATGAGGTTCAGGCCTATGAATTACGTCTGCTATACTGGAACAGCAGGATTCGGTGTCCTGAAAGACTGGTTCGTCAAAAAATATTTCTGCTGAATAAAAGAAACCAAGATCAGGGGATGCAAAAATCACTAAATCATCTCAAAATTATAAAATAGTTGGGCATGCAGGAATCACTAAATCACCCTGATTTCAACAAATACTTCATCCAACCAATCAAATGAACCAGCAAATTAAGATCACACGAGATGACTGCAGGCGGCTGGATGTGTTGAAGGCCCTTGCCGCTGCCCCTCATTATTGGACAGACGATGAGTGTGCGGCTGCCGTAGCCCGTGATTTAGGTCCAAGACCCATGATGACTATTTTTTTTATCTCCATGCATGACTAATTTTTGGCACTGAGTTGAAATGCCCCATTATTTAGTTCTCGTTACGTCACCGTCAGCGTGTACATCTTGGACTCTTTGGTGGCGATGGCGATGGAGCCCCGGGCCCGGCCCCCTCGATCTGGGTCGATCGATCGCGATGCGTGAATCACGTGTGTCGATCGGTACCATAACATACTGTATGGGCGTTGTTTGGTTTGCATTGGGAGCGCGAGGCTGAGCGCTCGAGCTCAACCCACATGCATGGGCGGCATACTTGTCCTTGATTTCTTGCGTTGGGCCCAACGCGTTAGGCATCCATGTGTGCAACCTGGCAGCAAGCACAGCCTGCATGAAGCCGACCTCGGTCTGTATTACTCCCTCAGTCCACAAGTCTCTATCGTCTAAGGAAAAAAAAATCTAAGAGTCTCCATCATATTAGATCGGGACTACAGGGTTAGCTTATAGTACGTGTTGCACATTTGGTGTTCATTGGCTGCTTCTTGTCTGCATTTATTACTCATTGGCTAGGATTCCTTGGCTGCTCCTTGTTTTAAATACAAATCGACGTTGTTTGCTGCTCCTCGGTCACTGCGCCGAAGACTAATATGATAGAGACTTATAGACAGAGGGAGTATATCATTGGCGCGAGTACATTCTAGGATTACCCCAAGACGACCCCACGAAGAGAGTACGTGAGAGTGACTCTCCTCCGATCCAAACCCCTATCAGTGAGCAAACAATTGCCTATACTTGTATAGTTGTAACGGCTGAAAACACTTTAAAACACATGTTTGCAACATCCAGATAAAACACTTGCAACATACGTCTGGAACAAATGAAACATTTGGAGCATAAACTTGAAATGCGTATATCCATTACAACATGTGCAACATTCCGATCTACTTTTACAATATCGATATACAATACTTGCAACATACCTCTATAACATTTGAAACACTTGAAACATACTCTTGCAACATGCGCTAGTCGAGGGGATGTCAACGGCCCATCGTACACCTAGGCGCAGCCGTAGGTCTCCATTTCCTGCCGACGTGCGAGGTTGATGGGGGCGCAAGCCTCCCCAGGCGCAGGCGCAGGCGCATGCCTCCTCTTCCACGATGAGCGAGGTGGATGGAGGCGCGACACGAGATAGGTGGCACGGACCGTAGAGTAGCCAGGGATGGAGTGTGCGAGCAGCCAGAGATGGGGCGCGAGTGCGACGCCACCATGCTGGAGAAAGCTGCGTCGGGCGGGTGCGATGTCTGGACGAGCGAGCGGCCTATATATATATATATATATATATATATATATATATATATATATATATATATATATATATATATATATATATATATATATATATATATATATATGAGATAAGAGACGGAGTGCGGCGCGCTCTGAAGCAGCGACAGAGTGCGGGTGCGGGTGCGGGTTGTATTGCCTATGCAAGCACGCACATGCTGTGTGCGCTAACTGCTAAGGCTAATACAAAGCCATACAGGGACGTGGGCCGTGGCAAGCGCCAAGTGGTCGTGGCGCATGCATATATATATATTCTATGCTTTTTGAGTGTATAAACTCTTTTTTCGAACTCAATTTAAGACATGATGTTAATTAGTATCATATATTCATATTATTTAAGATTAGATGTTAGTATGTATCGTATATTATCACCACTACAGGAAGTATTTTCATAGGTGAGCCTTTTTTATTAACAGAGCCAGATGGCCCACACGCATTTGTGAGTATACGTAGGATGTTATCTTTTCTATCAATATTTTGTAATCTTTCTTGTATTGGATATTTCAACCACTAAATAATCTCCAATAAAAAACAACTACAAAGCATTAAATCTTGTCAGGCACTATAAATTTGGTATATGACGTGTCTCCATCCGAGATTATTTGAAAATTTCTAAAACTTAAATCTCAAAACATGAGAATGTAAAACAAATATTTGAGATCAAGTACAAACTTGTGGGGTGACCACTTGGTATTAACCATGTGAACATTCGAGGTTATTTGGAAGTTCTAAATTTTTCAATTTCAAATTCTAGGAACTTAAAACACAAATTTGGGACAATAAACAACTTAAATTCAAAACTTGTCAACTATTTGTAGATTGTATTGAAAACTACAACTTTGTTATAGACCATGCGAACTTCCAAGGTTTTGAAAATTTTAAAATTTAAAATTCTAGAACTTGAAACAACTTTTGGTACTCTAAACACTTTCAAAAAAACCTTATCAATTATAAAGTTGTAGATCGCTTGGAGATCTACAACTTT